CAGAATCATGGTGTGTTGGACCCTTGTTCATTCTAGAATGTTTCTATTGAGTTATTAATTTTAATTTTATGAGTTGTATTATACTGAACAGTGAGTGCTTCACAGGAAAAAAATCACAAAAATATTACATGTTTAATATTTAAAAGCATCAAAATTTTCAAAATTGACTTTTTCAATGTACAAATTTACAAATAACTAAATTCTTATATGACTTACAAGGAAAATATCAGTAGCACTCTACAGAAAAGTAATCTTTACTTCAATATCACACCCAAGGTAGTCTTCACACATGACAATAACACATTCCATATACATGTATTGCTTACACTGACAGCACATGTGTTTTGCTTTTCTGGCCTTTTGGTAGGGCATACTTCACATCTCACTGGTCTTGCTATTTTATCAGGAGATTTTTATTATACAATGTGTATTTAACAGGAACAAAATATCAAGGAAATAAAGTATTAAATTGTTAATATGTATTGCACATTTAGAATAGACATCAACATTTTCACACCTGCTGTGTACTTGCTTACAAAACCTAAAAGATAACATCAGAAATAAAAACTTATGTGAACTACAATGAAAATACCAATAGAACTCTACAATAAAAATAATCTTTTCCTTCAAATGTCACACCCAAGACAGTCTTCACATATGAAAATTGCATGCTCCATACACAAGTATCACAATGATAGTATGTGTGTTTTGTTTTCCTGGCCTTTATTGTAGGGCACAGTTGATATCTTTTTCATTTAACTGTTATTGTAATAGGTCTTTGTGATGCTGTACCTACCTGTACACCTGTCAGATCACCAGTATGCTCCACAGTGTTTTTTTTTTTTTTTGCATAGTTCCCTTGGCAGAAACATTTTGTTTATCCTCTGTTGAAAATGATCTCATGAATTCCAGTTCCAATCCTCTAAGAAAAATTCTCCATGGTATTTTGCACTTGTTACTTTCTTTGTAAATTATCAAACCATTTATACCACACATGCTTAGGATCAAGTAAAGTATAACCACTGGCCAACACTTTGTGTTTTAAGTGATGTCATAGTTGCTGCATAACTCATCAATAACATCTACCTTGCCTTTGGCTTTCTTGTAGAAAGTTTCCAGTTCAAGCTTCAGTTTCCTGTATCAATATTTCCATCATGGTGCAATGTTAACATCAGCAGTACCAGTTTTTCTTTGATGTATATGAGGCCGATGGAAATCTTTCTGAAATCCGAAGATTGTACTGTACAATGCTGTTTTGAAATTGTAACATTTCATTTGGAATTTCTGCTTTGTTCCTGCATACATTTCCTGTGCTGGTCAACTTGTGCTCTTTTAGCAAATGTAATATCGTTTGGAAATTTGTAGATCAATTGCTGAATGTTACATTCCAATTTCTTTGGCAGATAGGAGCAACAAGTCTCTTCACAACATAATTTGGTTTATTACTATATGAATAAGGACCTGATGGTTGAGTTCCAGGATAAATTTCTAAATCAAAAGCATAATAAGTCTTCATATCTACAAGGGCATAAATTTTTCTGCCATATTTTGACCCATTACTTTTCCACAAGTCTTTTACATTCTTGTGTTACCATGAGAAATCCCTGCTCAGTATAGCCGACGTATGAGTGCTTTCAGTTCAGCTAGTGAGGTGTCATAAAAAATACATTTTTAATATAACTATTGGTACATGCAGCACATTTTACTTGTATTTTAGCCTTTGTGTATTTCACGCCATCCCATAGCGTTCCATGTTACAATTTCCAACACTGAATGGCAGTGCTGACATTCTGTCCAATATGTTTCACTGCTACCAAGACCCTCCTTTCAGACCTAGTTCTAATATTGGATCATTACGTTTTGTTGTGTGACCATTTTGCAACATTTCAACTGGTCATTGCTGTGTTCTTATTTGAATGGAGGAGGTTTGTATTCCCTGTGTATCAGTCAATTCTTGCTCCGTTTCACTGTCATAGGTACTTTAGCTCATAAGGCCAGTGTCAGAATCATTGTTATTGTCATTATTGTCATCGTCATCATCATCATCATCTTCATCCACCCACACCACTCTTCTGTTAGGAAAACATGTGTTTTACCATAATGGATCATCTTCATCATCCATGCATGAGTAATCTGATGATTCACTTTTGACCTCCTCCAAAACTTGCAAATCTGTTTTTTCATGTGCCAGTGTACTGAATTGGGCTACTTCTACAAGTAACATCAAAAGAAAACTAAAAAAACTAAAACTAAAAAAAAATTCTAGAGTGATGTGGTTGTATTATATGTACCCTTTGTGATGCTCAGGTAAACATACACAAAACCTGTTAGATGAAGCAGCATGTGGGTGAAAATCTCAATTTGACACTTGCACACATGCACACACCTTGCTGTTCATCCTATCAAGTGGGTAAATACAGAGATTGCTTGGGTATCCCTCAGGGAAAGGGTACTGTGACACACAGCCAGCTACTACTATGCTAAAGTAAAAATCTACAGTAGAAAACTAAGGGATGTGTTTGTGTTATGCTTATAGGGGTATTACTATCCATACTCCCATCGTCATCCTCAGGACACAGGCTAGATCAAGGTGTCAGGAATGGTGAGAAAATGCCATATTTTTTTCAGTATTGGGGATTAAGCCCATTTCTTTTGCATGTTCCCAGCCTATTTTATTTTTTTATTTTATTTATTTGTTTATTTGTAAACTCAGGACCTTTAGCTTGCAAGGCAGGCAGCGGAACAACTGAGCTAAGTCCCTGGCCCTCCAGCCTATTTTATTTTGCAGCAGAATCTTGCTAAGGTACTGAGGTACTTGAACTTAGGATCCTCCTGCCTCACCTTCCCAGGCATTCACAACTATTCCAAATTTCCATCATATTTTTTTTTTCAAGAAGGAGTGGCAAAGTTTATTTGAAAAAGTAAAATGAAGAGTGAGAAATTGGCTCTGCAGAGTGAGCTTGGGCCAAGTAAAAGGGGAAATAGCAACATAAAAGAACACCCTGGAGAAAGCAAGGTGGGATATATCTATCATTAATTTTGAAAACCAAGATAAGTCCTGGTCAAGAACAAGATTTCATCAACCACCACTCTACCTCTCTCTAATATAGTACAGTTAGGGGCTGTGGGACCCCCCCCCAACTCAGCTGAACCTGAGCAACACCCCAGGGCTAACCCCTGTGATCTTTGTCTTAAGACACTACCCAGAGGCAGAAATAAGAATAACAGAGACCCCCCAAGAATTTCAAAAAAAGTGCATCCAATTATAACAGAATAAATTACAGGAAAGGACGTGTGCAGTAGATACAGCTGATGTGACACACACCCTGTCAGTGCCATTGTCCATCATCCTGAGAGACCCAGTGGAAGGCACTCTAGGCTGAGCGTACATTTCAAATCCTTAAGCCCTACTCAGTACACATTTGTGCCATTTTCCTTTCTTCTTGGGCCATTTTTCCTTTCCACCAGCATGTGTCTGCTCCTTTCAAGCATGAGTATACCATTGCCTAATTAAACTGAGGTGTGTTGTTTTTTTTTCCTTTGCATTGGTGCAATATCTAATTCTTTGTTCATTATGTGCAAGAACCTGAAAAGCTATCCTGGGACCCTATCACCAACAATAGTCTCCACACTCACATTGGGGCAGTGTTGCTCAAATTGTTTTTTATTTTTTTATTTTTTTGGGTGGGGGTTTGACACAGTCTCACTATGTAGCTGAGACTTACCTGGGACTCACTATGTAGTGCAGGCTGGTCTCGAACTCACAGCAATCCTCCTGCCTCAGCCTCCTAAGTACTGGGATTACAGGCATGTGCCACCATGCCTGGCTCTCAAATTTTAGTCATTCTGAAACTACCTTCCCAATTCTTGCCAAATCCATTTAAATTGTATACTATTTTTTATACTTCTGAAATTGACTTTTTTTTTTTTTTGGCACTGGGGATCAAACTCTGGCCCTTGCACTTGTGAGACAGGTGGCAGAACCACTGAGCCAAATCCCGGCCCTGAAATTGACTTTTTTTTACCATAGGTTTGTTTCAAAAAGAAAGTTCATATTGTTTCAATTATGTCATTGAAATTGCTACTTATATTTTTCTAATACACATTAAAATAAATGTGCAACTACAAAAAATACAAGTACTCATCTACATACCACTGAAACATTAGACCACATTACAGCACAACAAAAGGGTGACTGGACTAGTCAAGGACAAGATCCAGGATTTTCCATAGCTGCAAGTTTTATGGGATGCCCACTCGCTGATGGCAGTAGAGCACATCACCAAGAGCCCCAGCCACGGATCTCAGTCTCCTATGATATTGTATGATATACACAAGATAGGAAAGAGAACAAAAGACAAGACTCGGAAAGCTGAGAATAGAAGCTGAGTCTTGGGCTGATCTGAGCTGGGTTTTCAGCTGATCTAATGTGTCTTTGGGTAGCAAAGACAAAAACCACCAAGGACATCGAATGTTTATTCATTACAAATATAGGAAGAAGGGGAGTAGGGTAAGAGCTGGGTGATAGTGGCTATAGCACACCTGGTGATAGTAGGTATTGCAGGCAGGACTGTAAAAGGGAGGCACTAGCATATCTTTGCTGAAGAGAACAGTTAAGTAATTCAGAGGAGAAGAATTTAGTTGGAATCAAGTTGACCTTGGCTGGAAGTGAACTCAGCAAAGCCCTGTTCCTCTAATTTAATATAGCCAAATTACAGAGGGTAAGAAGCTTGTGCCAATTATAGACTGCTAATACTGGGTAGAAATGTCAGCTACACTACATGCTGTGCAGTAGTGGAAATTAGAATCCAGCTCTTTCTCAAAAACAAAAGAACAGTGTGGAAGGAGATATGGGATTTGAAGAGAAATAAACCTTGATTGAATCCAGTGGACAAAGTATGTGGTGACATCTGGAATCCAGGAGGCCTAAGCCTAACAGGACCAGGATTACATTACCAGTATTCCACATTCTGGCTGGAATGTTCTAAGATTCTGTTAATTGTGCTGGGGTCCAGGGCTCACAAGAGCAGTCTCAGAACCCAGGGACTGTGATGGGTCACAGTCCCTGAGGAGGGACTACCTGTCCAACTCAGTACCAGTGACTCCCACACTCACCAGTCTGAGAAGCTATGTGCTGGCTGAGGGCCTGGGGCCAGCTCTTCCTGCCAGTTTTCCTCTCCCTGTTTCTCTTCCAACTGCTTATCAACTTCTCAGATGATGGATTTCCCCACATCTTCAGTCAAAGGAACAAGCAGAGAATAAAGAGTGAGATCGAGGAGGGTGAGTGTTCCAGAGCCCAGAGGCAAGTGCTGCACAGGCACCACCGTGATTTATCCTTTAGCAGTGCCCTCCTGGCTTTCTGAAGCTGCCATCTCAACAGCTGCTGCTTGGTTTTGGAGGAAGACATCTTTAAAGACTCTAGATGTTTTGCGGGGAGCCAATGTTAAGTTGGAATCAAATTAGTTTCCTTTATCTGAAACAAAAGGGGGTAAAACCAGTTTAATTTTGAAAAAAAAAGGTATGAATTTTTTTTTAATTGAGTGTGACCTATGACAGATAAATTTCATGGTATGGATGAGATTGGGTTTTGTTTTGATCTGATCTCACACAACCATAGCTACTTTTTCTTAGTTTTTAAGGCCTCAGCTACTAAATTGCTCAATTTGGTTTTGTTTTGCTTTTGTTTGTTTGTGGTACTTGGGACTGAGCCTGGCCTTTGCACTGAGTTATATTCCCAGCCCTTTTTATTTTTAATTTTTAGTCTAGGATAAATTGCCTAGGCTGAATTTAAATTTGTGATCATCTTGCCTCCCAGAGTGCTGAATTACAGTTGTGTGACACCATGCCCAGATAATTTTAGTCTTTCTTAAGCACTAATTCCTTCAGTTTGGAGGATTCCTTTAGTTTTCCTCCCCAGCTAAATTTTGAAATGTCACAATTCATGCTGAGTTGAATGCATGAACCTGGAAATAAGATTTTATTAATATCCTGAACTGGAATTGTATAGATAAAATAAAGCAATAATTTGAATTACCGTGAAAATATACTGTAAAGCCAAGAATTCCATTCTTAGGAAGACAGAATAATTACTTCTGCTGCCTTTCCAGAGTATAAAACAATGTTAGTACATGTAAGCAAATCAGTCTTCCCTGCTAAAATCAAAGGGGCAGCTCTCAGCTTTGCTCTGAAATTAAAATCTCCGTTAGGGAGACAGGCTGGGCTGAGGCTGAATGCGAACTTGTTTTCCTGTGTTCTCATTTGCCCCATACATTTCTCTTTTGTTTTAACCTCCGGTCGCTCTCAAACATAGTTCAAGAGAAACTCTGTTCTAGTGTAATTCTGGCCCCCTCTCCTTAGAAACAGTACTTTAAATACAGGCCAAGCATAGAAATGCACCATTCCCTTCATTCCTTAGCAAGATGAAGTCATACAGAAATCTTTTCAAAAGATTTTATTAAAATGTTGAAGAATAACAAAAAGTAAACATATAAAACAAATGAAAAGTCATAGATAACCTTTTCTGTTCTCTGAAGACCAAAGTTTCTGGTTTCAGCTGGCTCGTTCCTAGGCTGACCAGTTCTGGTCCACATTTCTGGGAAAATAGCTTGCCTTTGCCTGGGAGATGTGAGTCAGCCTGTTACCAGCTCCCTCACTCTCTGCCCTTTGGGCTTGCACTTAACATTCCCATCTAACAAAGACGAGATTTCTTCGGTACAGAAAGGCGTCTTAAGCCTTCATTGAAAATCTCACCTGCATCCCTCCTTGTGCTCTAATACGTAACAGCTCATACTTAGTGTTAGAATTGCCCTCAGCTTAGCCAAATATTTACTCGAAGGAGGCTGAATTTTATTAACTGAACTTCAAATTTTCAGGTTTAAGTTTTTCTGCCACCAGCAAAACTGGGGGATTTGGAGTTATGCTGAACGGTGACATAAAACTGACTTCTGATATTGAGAGACCTACAAGGTGTGATCAACATACATGGTGAATGTTTAAATTCATTGCAGTAAAAGACATTGCTATGAATCTCACTCAGAACGTTTGCCCTTGCTTCAAATACAATTATGCCTTTCTGAGGTAGTTCTGGAAGTCCTCATTTTTCTTTAAAAAGTGTGATTTTAAAAAAAGAAACAGTATGTTCAGGCCTAGTGCCATCCACCAGAAAAGCAGGCTCATAAAAACATTGTGGCATGTCCTTATTCACCTATTCAATGGCACCATGCGACTTTGGGTTTTTCTGAAAGTCAAAATGACCATTAAATATAAATATTTTGAATGGATTCAGGACATTGAGGCAGCCATGACAGCACAACTCAAAACACAAAAAAGGACTTCCAGAGCTGCTTTGGAAAGTGACAAGAATGTTGGGATGTGTGTGTGTGTGTGTGTGTGTGTGTGTGTGTGTGTGCGCGCGCGCGCATGTCTGTATATGTGCATGACTGTATGTGCGCATGTGTATAGGGGTATTATCAGGGGCATTAGCGCCTATGTGTTTTGTCTTGTAATAATTTTTTTAAATTTAAACTTTCACTATCTGTTGATTATACCTGGAAGATAAAATTCTCTCTTCTGTTATGCATCCCTTGATCTATTATTGTATTTAAGTAGGACTGAATTCAGCAGTACTTAATTTGGTGTACTGAGCTTTATCTGTACCTTTCTGACCAGTACCTATTTCATGGAGAGGCAGAACTCAGACATGAAAAGGCAGCGGTTCAGGCCGCCTGCACTCACCCTCCAGTTTTGTCATTTATTAGGTCCATATTGCTGTACTACAGTTTCCCGATCAGTACAATGAGAATAGTATCTTCCTCATATGATGGAGCTGGAAAATAAGATAAAGGCATAAAAATGTCAAGAATCTCTGAGAGATAGAAAGAAATTGTGGTGAGACTGATAGGGAAAAACCACAGATAGCGAAGAATGGCTGTCAAAGGCAGGAGCGGTTCTACACTTTCTCCAGGCTCAGCAGCAGTGAACACAAAGATCAAGAGGAAGTTGCGGACCTCCGAGCGTGGTGATCTTGGAGCACTAATTTCCTCTCCCTGTTCTGAACTGTCTCAAACACAGGCAGTAGAGGCAGCAGAGGCAATTTCCCCAGCCAGCGATGAATGTAGATCGTAGGTAATGATAGAAAGATCACCACTAGAAAAATGCTGTGTAAGTTCGAAACCACTGGAGGAAATAAAGGAACAGAGACTAAATGGATGCTACCAAAGAAGCGAGTGTAATAATATTAGATAACACCAAATCAAATTTCAAAATCATTTAGAAGCACAAATATTTTATACTAATGTATATTACGATACACCAAGATAACATATTACAAACCTTTACTCACATAACAGCATAGGTTTGAAATAGATACAGAAAAAACTGATAGAAATTTTAAAAGCATTTGACAAGTTTAAAACTATAGAATTCACTTTATATGCCTGCACCAGAAGTCAACAGATCAAATAAATCATAAAGGTGCAATATAGAGACTTTTATAATATAGAATCTTGTTATTCATTGTTTTGTATAGCTGTAGCTGTTTTTAAAAATTTTTCCCTAACAGATAACTGTGTTAATTAATATTAATGTTTAACTATTGATTCATCATTGCAATACCAATAAAAATTGAGTTTATATGTAGCACAATATATTTTGATGCCAGACATCTCTGGATTTTGAATCGTCACCCTTCATGGGAGAAGAGAAAACCAAAGATGTTTCAATATTGGTAAGAAACAAAGAGAGAGAACTAGGAGGGAATGATGCTATAAAAGTCATGAGATGTGCAGGCAAAAGAAAATAAATAACCAGACAGAAAGGATACAGACATTAGTTTAGTGTGAAGAATCTGATACCTGGAGAGAGCTGTCACCGCTTTCTTCAGCAAGAGAACAGAAGAAAGAACCTTCAGGAGCATGTGGCACAGAGATGACTGCCCCTCGCTGGTTTTCCAGGGAAGGCAATAATGACTATCAAGAAGGTTGCTAGTTAGTTACACAAATGCTCCATCTAAGCCTCTGGTATGGAACCGCAGGCGGCCATTCACTGACATGCTGAGGAAGGAACTTCACCTCTGCAGTGGCTCTTTGCCAAAACCCATAGTGCCTGCTGAATCAAATGAAAAACATCACATAAGTATGAACCGGGAGTGTCCTATGCAACATCTACCCCATACTCCTCAAAACTGCCAAGATCACAAAAATCCAGGGAAGACTGAAAAGCTGTCATGAACCAGAGGAGACATGATGATTAAATTAAATGTAATATCCAGGTTGGGATCTTTAAAACAAGGAAATCAGTCTAAAATCTAATGAAATTTTTATAACATCTGGAGTTTAGTAAAAATCGATGCATTAATGTTGGCTTCTTAATTTTGATAAATGCACTTTAATAACAAAATGGTAGCATTGGGGATAAGTGGGTGAGAGGTATGCAAGTACACTGTATGTAATGTTTGTAATGTTTCTATAAATCTGAAATTATCTCAAAATAAAAATTTCAGTTGACCAAAAAGCTATGGGAAGCAAGCAGAGTTTGGGGAATGGAAGTCAAGCCGTGTACTGTTTGTCCTCCTGCACCTGTCAGGCGTCCTGACAGAGATGACACAGTGGCATCTCTTTCATTTGTTTACCTTGCTTTTTCTTCCACTAAGCTCTCCCATGGGGGCTTCAAGCACGTTGTCGGTTAGGAGGAAATAACACTCAATCGATAGGACTGGGTTCGAAAGCTGAACTGTAAGCTTTTCCCTAGCCAAATCAGATCTGCACCCAAACACCTTGAATTTAAGCAGACAAGTCTGAACTTTCCCAGAGAGCCTGTAAACTGTCTCCCCAAACAATAGACAGAGGGACCCTATTGTTACAGTGTCACAGAATACCTACAGTACTGATTCCAAAACTTTTCCAAGAAAACATTAGAATGATTAAATATGCCATCAAATTGCCCTTTCCCAAACTCAAAGTTTTCACCCTAGAGCTTTCAAATATGTTATACTGTTTATATTTTCCCAAAACGAGAATAAAGTCTTAATTTGAGGGACGTTTTTAAAGCTTTGTGCCAGAGCGGGGTGAAACATTTTTTTCTTAACAATTATAGGAGTAATTAGTTAACCAGGAATACCTTGGCAAAAATCATACTGAATAGCAAGTTACTAAAAGAAGTTTTTAATTTCTGTTTTTATTAGTACATGTTTGCAGCACGGTGATTACATTCATTGTGGGGAGTTAGTATGTGGACTTGACGCATCTTTATTCCTTTTATACCCCCTTCCTTCATCTCTTCATCGCCTTTTATTTACAAAAGAGTTATCTAACAGAGGTTTTCTCAGTTCCGTGTTTTAGATGCATATGATGTTTCCAATTTGTTTTTTCATTTTTTTATTTATGGGAAGAAGTTATTTAGAATTTTGTTACTGCATCTAAAATAATAAAATTTTGGGCTGGGGATTTAGCTCATTGGTTCCACTGCCTGCCTTGCAAGCACAAGGTCCCGAGTTCAATCCCCAGTACCAAAAAGAGAAAGAAAGAAAAGAAAAGGAAAAATGCCATTTCATGTTATTCCAAGTAACAAGAGAAAATGAGTTCAGATTTAAATAGGGCTGGAGGGAAGAACATTTAGATTCATGAAAATAATGGAAATGAAATGAAGGAATGAAGTGTGCTTTTTAAATCAAATTGAGCCATAAATAGGCTTTGGCTTCACATTTTGTACTTAACTTTTTTTTTTTCTTTCAGCATGTGCTCAAAAGAGAAACTGTCAATTGTGCACAGAAGATAAGAAAGTAAGTTAATTTTCCTTCTTCTTTCTTTCTTTCTTTCTTTTTTTTTTTTTTTTTTTTTTTTTTTTTTTTTTTTTTTTTTTTTGGTACCAGGGATCAAAACTCGGGACCTTGAGCTTATGAGGCAGGCAGCAGAACCACTGAGCTAAATCCCCAACCCAAGTTTATTTTCTTATGAAGAAATTACCTTGGAAATCTTATAAATTCACACATTTAGAGTTATCTAAAAATATGCTGAACTTAGTTTTATCAAAACTTTTGTAACAGGAATGACTAATAATAAGGTCTTTTTCTCCATTTCAAGTTATTCTTTGATGTTCTAGAATAAACAATGGAAATAAATGAGTTGCAAACATGTACTTATTTTCAAAAAACATACTTCCAAAGGAAAATAATTCTTGTTTTGAAAAGAAATCACACTGAAACTTGGGAAGGATTTGTTGTAAGTAGAGAAAAAGATGTCTTTGAGAAGCAATGAAAATTTCCTTTGCACTTCTAACCACATAAACCAGGAAGAGGGACACACTGTTCACTAACCACAAGAGCTGGATCCCTTCTCTGCTGAATAAATTGTCTGCCGTCATTATTTTTCACTCTGGATTTTGAAGAAGACAGAAACATCTAAAGTAAAGAGAGAAGTGCTGTTACTTTGTGCCATTGAGAGAGAGCTTTGGAACAACCTTTACAAAATCATACGGGTCTAGCTGCTAATGGTGAACTAACACCAGAGACAAAGACAAAGATCACTAATGAGAAAAGGGCATACTCTGAACCTGGCATTTATTATGGTGATCCACCACTCTGCCTCTTTTCTTCTCCTGTCACTTGTCTGCTTTAATAAGGACCTGAGCTTCTGGCTCAGGAAATTTTCTAACCCAGTTCATACAATAAACTTTCCACGTTTTCGCTGAGCAATGATGGCTCAAACACACCTATCCCACAGTCTCCTGACTTGCTCACCTATGTAACAGGACATCACTTCTACAGCACACCCTGGACCCTTCACATTCTGCATAGGCTGTTACTTTTCATTTCCTAGCGCAGTGTACCTACTCGTGAAGCTCAACAAGATAGGATTGTCCTCCAGCCCTTTAACTCTTTAACTCTTTTTTCCTTAGGTTATTAGTCCTCCTTTAATGTACTCTCTTCCTATGAATTCTCATGGCTGTTCACTTGAATGGAATATTCCTCCACTTTTTGACTGTTAAGTGTTTCAGTATTAAACTTCAAACATGAAAAAACATTGGGAAACCTTCACGCTGATGTTTTTAATCTGGGAGGCTGAGGCAGAACAGCTTGAAATCAGGAGTTCAAGCCCAGTCTGGATACCATAGGAAAATCCTATAAGAGAGAGAGAGAGAGAGAGAGAGAGAGAGAGAGAGAGAGAGAGGAGAAAATAGAGTAATAAAATTTGATATCTCCAAAACCCATCTTGCCAAACCTTGTTTCATGTATGCCCTCCCTCCCAAAATAGATTACTTTGAAGTAAATAATGATAAATATACCATATCATTTTATTTGTGATACTGATATATCACAAATATATGTATAATAGTATATATATGTATATACTTATTCGATAAAGACTTGACTGGGGCTGGGGATTTAGCTCAGCGGTTCGGTGGCCTGCCTTGCAAGAGGAAGGACCTGAGTTCAATTCCTGGTACTAAAAAAAAAAAAAAAAAAAAAAAAAAAAAAAAGAACAAAAAAGATAAAGACTTGACTTTAAAATATTACAAGTCCATGATCACAACCAAAAGTTAACAATAGCTTTTAAACATCATTAACCATTCAATAAATAATTAATTTATTTTTTCATATTTTTTGTTTAAATCAGATTCATAGGTTGCATTTGGCTGATACATAGCTTAAGTCTATTTTGCTCTACAGTTTCCTTTTCCTCCCTTTTTTCTTGCAACTTATTTGTTGCAGAAACTGGATTGTTTGCACATTATGTTTCCTGTAGTCAGATTTCACTAATGACATCAATATTTCTATAAGAGGCTTTATTTTGTTCCTCTTTTCCCTATTCTTTTGTTCTTATAAACTGATGATCAGATGTAGAGCACTGATCACCAGATTCAGTTCAATTTTTGTCATATGTATATATATATCGTACAGAAGACTTTCATTAGAAGGTAAACATTTTTTTAAAAAGGACTGTTGTCTAGCATTTAGTGATTTTAGCTATCAGTGATGATCCTGGCCTGATCCATTATACCCTTGGGAGTCACAAAAAACTGCATTAGTTACTAGCCTTGTCCTCTTATTTTGCACTGTGCTGGACCTGCATTTCCCAGCTCTCATTGGTCCTTTAGTTCGTCTATTCATTTGCTGTACTGTTAGCTGATTGCTGGTCAACCATTAAAGTCCACATTCATACAATAATAAATTCATAATTTCTGAGCTCAAATCTTATCCTCGTCTCACCCTTGGTTAGCAGCGTTTCCTAAAATATCCCAGAGGAGAAATTTCAAAACTTTATCACTATCTTTAAAGTTCCAGTTTTATCTTACTGTATCAATCTCAACATATAACTTTATCTATGATTTTTTTCCAGCTTTAATTGAGTTTATTGGTACATTTTAGGCACACAGTACAATTACATTCATTGTTGGGATCTTGTACCTCTACATGACAGGTCTTGGTTCTCATTTTTTCCCCTTACCCCTGCCCTCCCTTCACCCTCTCCTCCCCTCGCCATCTACAAACACTTTATTTTCATCTTTGCATTATCTCACATTTTTTTCTATTTAAAAAGGCTCAAAATATGAATTTTACCCCCTGAATTGATAGCATTACTGTCATTTTTATCTCCTCCACTTCTCCCACACTTCTCATTTGGACTTAACCACATACATTTTGGAATGGCAACTCATAATATAAATTGTTTTTCTTTTCACCTTTCATCTCTTCTTGGCTCCTTGAGGATAAAGGCTATATTTTATTCATCTCTACATCTTTAACACCTCACACATGTCCCAGCACACGGCAATCGTTGACTAACTATTGAATGAACATTTGAGCCATTAGAAGGTTAAATTGGGTTTTATATGCTCTTTAATGTAGTAAGATAGAAAATTTTATCTTTAAAAAATTCCAAACATAACCCATTATGGCAATTCTGGGAATATGTGAATTTAAGTGCAATTTTTAAAATAGTCCCAGTACATCAAAGAAATTAACTAAGGGATAATTCCACATAGTCCATATAGAATTAGGGACGCATCTTTTGGAAAAAGATTCCCTGTCCTGTTCGTTGACAATTTCTCACCCCTCTTATACTCTCAGAGAGAGTGCCTGGGTTTATAGATGGCTGCTCATGAGGAAACTAAGAATGTTTGAATTGTTCTTAAACTAAGAAGAGCAGATTTTAGAGAGAAGGAGGGGAGGAGACAGACAAGGGGAAGGGAAGAGGAGAGGGGAGGGGAGGAGGAGAGGAGAGGGGAGGGGAGAAGACAGGAAGAGAAGAAAAGAGAGGAAAGAGGAGAAGAGAACAGAAGAAGTCCACTATCATGGACTATTTTCCCTTGCAACTATCTTCCAACATCTTACCTGCTCTTGGCCTTCCCTTTGATTTTGCTTGTGAAGTATAAGGTACCTGTCAGGTTCAAGTTCCCTCACTTTTCTTCTGAATCAACTTAGTGTCTTTTCTCTTATAGTCTCTTTGCTTTAAGAACTTTATTTCCATTCCCAAGGCTAATCTCTAGGTCTTTGCCTCTATGTATGCATTTTGTTCACAAACACATACACATGCACAAACTCAGAACATTTCCCATTTTCTTTCAAGTTGACAACACCACATATTCCTACGGGTCTTCATGAGATACAAGAAAAATAATCCATGTAATTTATCCTAAATTATACATTACTAATTTAGGGATGTCAAATAAATTATAATGTTCCTCTGAGCAGTGAATGTGAAGTTCTGGTCTTTGAGGACTGTAGACTTAAAGTATTTTAGGTACAAATCTTTTCGTGGTGACAGAAACCTAATGGAAACTCATGAAAAGGGGAACCCATTGGCTCACAAATTTGGCTTCCTGCTCAGCTCAGTCTCTATGGATGTTACTCCCGTTTTTCGCTGTCCTTCCATCTTCTGACTTTACCTCTCTGTATTGAGCTCATTTTTTTTTCCCACAGTAAATGGACATTCTCTGTACGGTGGAAGAAGAGGCTGGCTGCCTGCAGATCTGCCCTATTATTTCTAAATAACTCCAAACATGATTCCATGTGGCCCAGTCAGGTCTCACGTTCAATCCAGAACCAATTACTGGGTCAAATGGATGTGCTACCCTGAATACTACGGCCTGGTTCACTGACCATATTCTTATGTTAGGAAAGGGAAAAACTGATTGTCAGCCGTAGGACCGTACAGAGTTGGGGGAAAGGTTCACAAAGAACGGAAGGTTTGATTGCCAGAAGAAGAATGGGAACGCAGGATGGACAGGCAAACATTAAAGAAATAAGCCTTTAACCATTTTCCCTTTCAGAACATGCATATTCTATTTTCTCCATCCCCATACATTAAAAAATGTTACTGACGAAACAACACAACCAACCCTCAACTAAAATTAGACTTCTCAACAATTTCTGTCTGTTGCTGTCCCTATTTCTAACTCTGGAGGCTTAGGTAGATGTGTGTCTCTCTTACGGTATTTCAATATGGCTCCGTATGCTCTATACTCTTCCAAGTAGGCTATACAATCGATTAAACCATGTGCCAAAGCCCACTATTCAAAGGAAAGAGAAAGCAGGATAACAACAGTAAAAACTCCCAGTGTGCAGTGGTCCTCTAACAAATGGAGTCTATGATGGACTGTGTTGAGCTTCCCTGGCTGAACAATCAGGTCAGCCACCTGTCTGGCTGCCCCACACTTTGCCTAATGAAGGAGCTCCCTTTCCAGAGTTCTCTGAGCCCCCACTCGAGAGAAGGGTAAGAGTGAATGTCTTCTGCCTTAGTAGCTCATATGCTCTGGTCTTGGTTACCAGGGAGTCAGTTTAGCACCTAAGCAACCACAAGCTCCTTTCTTCTCATTTCTTGTGCATTCTGGTAATTTATTTCCCTAAAACTCCTTGAGATGACCTGGACTTGATTCCTAGAATTCTCTGAAATATAATAACCAAGGCCAGAAGTCTGTAGGCTACAGGCCTTTAATCTAGGCTTTGTCTTTACAGTGCCAGTCTTTAAGTAGTAATCTAAGAGGACAGCTTTGTTTTATCTTTAGATTTGCCGAATGTCTTAATTTGACCTTTGATCTTGGACAACATGAACAACAAAAGCTGGCCTGAGATATAACTCCTGTTCTTGGGCAGTGTTTAAGGGGGTGATTCTTACATTGGGCAAATCATTACCCCTGCTGGTTTCAGATGTAAACCAAGAAGTGACTAGGAGAGGTGCAAGACCATTCTTACAGTATTGTTTACCAACATAGAGCAAAGCTGCTGCTTAACTTATAGTCCAGGGTCCCCTATTTACTAGGTGTGTGGCAATATTGTGTAAGTCATTTAACTACCCTGTGCCTCATTATCCTCATCTATAAAATGCACATAGTAGTGCCTAGCTCAGGGTTGTCGTGAGGATGAAGCAAGTTAATGATGGACCATACGTGTCACACTGTAGGTCCTATGTTACAGCCATTTTCACTACTGTGTCCTCATTTCTTTTCTTTCTTTCTTTCTTTTTTTGCCACTCTAGTTCTAGTCTTATCTCCCATGATAGTTTCACCATTTGCCTTTCTTTTGTCTACTTCAACAAGGATCTTAGAATTCATTTTCCCTACTTTCACATGATTGTCTGACCACCAGTGAGCAGAAGTGGATGGAGGTAAGGTAAGGCTCGTTGACAGCACTAGCAGGGCCACATGAGGCAGAAAGATTTCCCAGAGGACACTGCAGGCAAGAGGCACGGGAAAGAGAGTTGGGATATTTAAAAAAACTGTCTAATGTGGTCCTTGTTACTATTTTGTGAAACAGTAGGTTGGGTTTCGTTCCCTAAATGGAAAGTCTGAGAAAGTGATTTGGGTGTGGGGTCCCCATACCTATCAGTTACAGGCCTATAGGGACGGGAGTCTTGCGGGGAGGAGGTCCTCATCTCCAAAAGCCATCATTCAAGGGTGTGCTGTGAGCCACTGGCAGCCAACACTTACTACGGGTGAGGTTTTGGTGCATTGGGTGAGGTAAACAGGACCTGGGCAGGTCGCCGATGGCATTTACTGTGAATAATATGATAATAGATAACGGTGATGATGGATATTCTTTACTGAAAACTTACTGAACTAGTGCTAAAAAGTTAATATTACTGTGCTTACTGAATTTGCTGCTAATTTTTTTCTTTCCAAATACAGTGTATTTGGTGCAGTGAAGAACGCATTTGCAAAAAGTACTGTTTTCCATATCATGGCTGTAGTATCAGTTCTATATATTGGGCAAACTGTAGTGGTGAGTTGTCCTCATTTAAAATTTCATATACTTTGTTTCAAATGACTTGCAAATACCAGTAATTTGCTATACCTTTGAAGGATTTTAAATTATCATATTTGTTTTATTAAAATATAGCAAGTTCAGGGCTGCTTGTTGATGTTTCATTTGATACAGGTTTACTGTTAGTTTCCAGCCAGTGTTGATTCAGATTAACACTGGTTCTGATTGGTGTGTGCCTTACCATTTATTCCACTGTTAAAAACTTTAAATTTCGTGTCTAGAAATCTCTGACATATGATATTCATAGCCTCATTAAGGGATCTTTATGTTCTTTCATTGTTTTAGGAGGTCCGAGAGTTTCTGATGCATTAGTCCTGGAGTGAGGATATGCTGAGCCCACTAGTGTTGTTATAACATATTTCCTCAGCTAATACAGTTTGTATTAAAGTTGCCATTCAGGGTGATGGCTCTCTGAGACTGAGCAATCAGTCAATCACCAAAGAATCTTTAAATTATTTCTGTAATGTCATGCTTTTCGTATGTTTAATGGTTCTTATCAAGGCAGGAAAAGATACCAGTGTCTCTGAAGGAGTTTTTCAGAAAAGTTGAAACAAGACTTTCTAGGTGACCCCTAACCAGGATAACCAGGTGTCTGCTTTTCTCTTAATTGAAGAGAGAACATGCAATTTTGCCCTCAATTATTTACTTACTTCAGGTACTATACAGAATATGTAACTCATATGTATTTATAGTTTATAAAGAAGTAATATTTCATAATTTTATCATAAACAGAAAATCTAGTCTCCTATTTCATGGTTTCTCTTCTCATTTCATTTTATACTATACCTACCTAATAAGGTACATAGACTTGAGAGTGGAAAAAAGTTTACTAGAGTTAGAAACAATAAGCCAGCAGCCTTATGATTTCAGTGAAGAGAGGATTTGACGTTAACTCCTTTTAGCAACCCAGATTATTTTCAAATGTTGGCAGTGATTGTTGTGTTAATGATAGTTTTATTGGAATATAAAAGTGATACATGTTATTGTATTGCTATTTTTAACAATGATTTGTGAATGTGTGTTTAAGAATCAGACTACTAGAAAAGACAAAATGTGAAAAATGACTACTTTTGTTATTAAATATATTTCTCTTCATACATTTCAGTTGATATGTTTGGAGTCATAATGCTGATACTTGTTGCAGTATTGGTGACAGCATTCTTGTGGCTTTCCTGCGCCTTTTACTTTTACATGAATGAGTATGTTCATTTTATTCTCTTAGTAAGAATGAACTTTGGAATATGTAGCATTATTGAAAAGAATGCTAAGCTACTTATCAGAAAATGCTTTATGTTTTTATATAATAAAAATAATATACCCACATGGTAAGGAAAAGTAAACACTGTATGATTAAAACTGTAAGAAACTGTAAGATTAAAAATTAGCTTTTCTATTCCCAACGCTAACTCCAACACATTTTCTCAGAAGTTATACTTTTAGTTTGATTGCCTTTGTAGTTCTTCTGTTGATAACCACCATATATTTGAACAGCATGGTTCTATTGTCTTTTCATGCCTTATTAAGTTTATGTTATCCATCAAATCTCTATTATGAAATCTGAAAAATTTAGTCTGCATTATTTTTGTCATTTTGCCTTGGCTTCATGGAGCTTATATCATTCTAATGGGACACAGACAAGTAAACAAGCAATTGTTAATTTATTGCAAATGTATTGACATTTTAAGTGATATTTCATTTATTTTAATTGTATTTTTCTTAAGCAGTTTAGTTTTCCTGGTGGATAGACAAAATAATTCAATTTAATAAAGCAAGGATAATAAAATATTACATAAATGTAGTCTAATAAATAAGGCAATTTCAACTATAACTATTCTGAAAATAAACTTAATTTTATATTCATCATCACTTTGAACAGACGTCAAGTCTATTTTTATGGAAGACGAGAAAGAACTGCTGTTCAAGGTTGGAATCCTGGCAAGTACTTTCATTTATTTGATAGACTATCCCAGGCTTTTTCATTAACTGACATCTAGCAAGCATTCCCTTATGGATGCCAAGCATCAAAACTAAAATATGAGTAGAAACATCATCATAACGTATTTCATTGTTCTCATTTCCAATGCTTGTGTGACCTCAATAGCTACAGTAGGATTGGTAAATCCTAATATTGATAGAGAGGTGTTATCATTTTCAGCTGAATTAGGGATATTATTCATTCCCTAGTTCCCCCAATTCTTACTCAACAGAGACAACTCAATAAAAATTATGTTTTCCTTGAGGACTTTTCCCAATTAATTCACTTCATCTCACATAGTGCTTTGGGTGTCCCTTGTCCACTCTTCTCAACCTGAGTCTTTAAATCTTCCCAGAGTTACAATGCTCCCCCTTACTCAGGGCTCAAATCTTGGCTTCCATAGGCACATGCAACCATAAATCCTGGGCAAGCCTGTTACTACTTGTCTGTCCAGGCTTGAACCTTAGAATTCTAAGTGGAGCCAAAACTGTGGCCTCCTGTTCAGTGGATTAATTGAAAACAAAATCTTTAGATCAGAATAATATAACTGAGGCAAAGATAATTTAAGATCTTTTAAAATAACTTTGAGGGCATCTAGATTATTGTGGTGCTCTGGGGTGTAGAAGCATAATGCTAAGGAATGTAGAAAATCCTGAAAATCATATTTTAGATTACAAAATTTGAATAGTAGCAAGGTTAATTGGAAAGGATGAAATGTTAAGCACATTACGCTCTCACTTGCTAACTCATAGTAGATCTTGCTATGTAGAAATTGGGGGCTGATTCATTATGAGGCATTTCAGAAAGCTATTTAGGAGCAGCACTAAAGTACAGGGCAATTACTACATTTTACTAAGGTTAAAATCAAACCAGAAGATTGCAGAGAATGATACTACATTTTAATTCCTCATCTATTTAAAATTATTTAAGAATTTCTAGGAGAAATGCTTTGAAAATAGTACATGGTTGGACATTTGTTCCTTCTAGATATAACCAGTTCACAGATTGAGAACCATTACTTACACTAGATTTATTGTAGGAAACAAAATATAATTAATTTCACAAGGTAGGATTATTTTTCATCCAGGAGTGCCTAAGGGGGATGCCTACATTAAGGGGTTAAGTAAAGGAAACAGAATCAGGCAAAAGGAATTGAGAAGATGGAAAAACAGGAGACAGCGACGTCCTAGAGATCAAGAGAGTAGGGTATAAATACAAAGGGAGATTCATCTGTGTTTTTAGGGTTACACATCAGGAGGGCCTTGGTAAGTTATTTGCAAGTGGTAGTCCTGTGTGCATGACAGAATAAGCAGACTTGTGGAGTAAGAAAATGTGGAGCCTGTAAAACATGTAGACTGCATGTTATTTACCCATGATGCTTTTCACTCATGAGTTGCTTTTCAGTAGTAGTTTTAGTAGCACTTCTTTTGGTCCATACTTTTTCCCTAGGAAATGGATTCAGAAAATGATTTTCTGGGATTAAACATTCACTGAAGGGCCGGGGATTTAGCTCAGAGGTTTGGTGGCCTGCCTTGCAAACGCAAGGACCCGAGTTCAATCCCTGGTACAAAAAAAAAAAAAACACTGAAAATTCATATTTTCTGTAACTCAAGACAGCTAGTATTGTGATTACCTCAAATATTTGACCTTTTCTTCTTTGCCAAATTAACCCTCAAGTTAATTCTACCTTAAGTAATTTAGACCTAAATATTAAAACAGCAGTAACATTAAAATCTCAGAATATAATTATTTTTATTGATTATGAATATTTTTGTTTAACATTTAAAAAATTTAGGTCAGTTTTCTTTCTTTTTTTTTTTTTTGGTTACCAGGGATTGAACTCAGGTCCTTATGCTTTCGAGGCAGGCAGCAGAACCACTGAGCTAAATCCCCGCCCCTAGGTCAGTTTTCATTAAATTTGTTACAAAGCATTTGAAAAGGTGAATTTCTGTTCTCTCTTTGTAGCATTTGATGAACAGATAAATTGAAAAGATAGATCTTCCAGAGGCACAAGGAAGAAGTTTCTTCCATGGTAAGGTTTCCAATGTTTTCCTTTCCTGGGCAGTCTTTCAGGAATATAATCGGACATTTTCAGAAAGAAAATGGAAATAAATATGTAAAATGTAGAACTATTTCAATGTCTGAACATGTAATACAAGGTAGTAGTAAGTGTAGAAGTAGTAATATCTGAGATTCATTAGTCTAAGTTATCTTTTAAAAAAACTAACTCATAGTCTTGCTGATCCTTTTTATTGTTGTTCTAGTTTTTATTTCATTTATTTCTAGTGAGATTGTTTCTATTTTCTTTTCTCTACTAACTTTGGGCTTAGTGTGTTCTTTTGTGAATTTGTTCACATGAAACATTAGGTTCTTTACAATTGGTTCTTTTAAAATATCATTTATTGCTATAAACTTGCCTCTTAGAACTGCTTTTACTGCACCCTATTAATTTTGGTGTGATATTTGTATCAAGATATTCTTTAAAATTTCTCCTTGAGTTCTTCTTTGACCTATTTTTTCAGGACCATGTTGCTTAATTTTCATGTTTTTGTGAGTATTCCATTTTTCCTCCAGTTATTCATTTCAAGTTTCATACAGTTTCATACTATTGTGACCAGAAAATATACTTGATGTGATTCCATTTACTTCAATTATGTAAGACTTGTTTTGAGGCTTAACTTGATATATCCTAGAGACTATTTGTTATATGTACTTGAAAAGAATGTGAATTCTGCTGCTGTTGAATACAATGTTCCACATATAGGTATTTCTGTTAGGTACATAAAGTACAGTTCAAATCCAATGTTTCATTATTTTCTGTCTGGAAATTTTTCTGTCTAGATGATCCATTTATTGTGGATTTCACCATTGTTGAAAGTGGGTTATTGTAGTTTCCTACCACTGTTGTATTTTTCTTCAGATTAATAAAATATTTACATTATGTATTTAGGGATGCTAATGTTGAGTATATATACTATACTACAATTTTTATATTTCCTTGATGAATTGACCACTTTACCAGTGTACAGTAACTATAAAAGAACAGTACTGGACTTTTACCTATCAATTACTGTGAATATAAATGCATTAAATTATGTAATTAAAAGATATTGAGTGACTTAATGGACTGAAAAATAAGACTCAACTATTTGGCACCTTAAAAGTTCTCCCTTAATTTTTAGGGACACACAGACTAAAAGTAAAGATATTTGGAAAAATATTCCATTCAAATGGATACCAAGCAAAAACATATCTAACTATATTTATATCAAACAAAATAGAATTTAAACCAAATACCTATAAAGAGAGACAAAAAAGTCACTATATAATGATAAAGAGGTCAAATGATTTATCTTAAAAGTCCACTTTTATACCAATCAATGATATGGGATGGAACATTTTAAAATAATTAAATTTCTATTGGCATTGGAGTCCACTTTTGTGTACCTCTTCACTGCTGCTGTTTTGACTCATCATCCACTACTCTACTTGTTTCATTATGAAAGCCATATAAACAATTTTAACATCTATTAATGAAATTACACTACTTATTTTACATTACTTTTTTCTCTCTTTAATTTTAATTTTTATCAGTACATATTTGAAGTACATAATGACTACATTCACTGTAGGAAGTTGGTAAATATACATGTACCTTTTGTCCCATACGTACACATATATCATATCATGTACATAATTTATCATTTTTATTTTTACTTCCTCTTTCCCTCCCTTCCCTCCGCCTCTCTCCATCTCTTGGTCCTCTTCTCATTTGGAAAAAATGCATCTCCCTGTTTCTTATATTTTATTTTCCCTATAATTTATTAATGCTATAAGAGAAACCATGTGATATTTAAGCTTGTGTATCTGATTTATTTTACTAAATATTATTTTCTCAAGGTGCATGCATTTTCCTACAAATAACTCAAGCTTATCCTTCTTTATGGCAGAGTAGTAGTCCATTGCCTATTAATACCACAGTTTCTTTATCCATTCTTCTGGTGATAGACATAAAGGCTGCTTCCAAGACTTACCTATTATGAATTGTGCTTCTGTAAACATGGGTATGCATGTATCACTGCAATATGATGTCGTTAACTCTTTCAGCAGGATACTGAGAAGGGTAATAGCTGGATCAAATGGAATTTCTATTTTTAATTTTTTGAGGAATCTCCATACTGATTTTCACTGTGGCTGTATTAGTTTACATTCTCACCAACAGTGATACTAACTAAAGAGATCTCCATACTAGTAACAAAATCTTTCTATTATAATTGACCCACAATGCTCAAGGGGCGGGGGAACAACAACAACAAGAAAATGAGGCAATAAAATGCCTTCAAAAAATTCCCAATTTCCCCAAAGCTAATTTACAGGGCGTTATGATGAATAAATCAAAAGCCAAATAGTTGAATTACATGAAAGATGAAAGTGGAGACAGCAGATCGATAATGTGCTCAGTGAACTCAGAGATGATATAACTAAGCAGATAAGGACTTAACAAAATTATCAGTGAGTTTTCCGAATACAATAATTAAAAGCTGGCTGAGCTAAACAAAACATGAACACCATAACTGAACATCAAAACATGAACACAAAAACTGAAATTCATGAAATGGTTCCAAGCAGAAATTCAGGAGATTAAAAAATTCTACTGAAAATATGGGCAACAGAAGTGACCAGTGTGAGGACAGAGTATCAGAACTAAATGATGGTGCTGATGCAGGTGAACATACTTAAAGAAACCATAAAAACAAGAGAACATGCAAAATGGGTCCAGTAGCTGCTCAATGACTTAAAGAAGACTAATCTAACTGGAATTAGTGAAAAATGAAAAGACAGAAAGAATGGCATTTAAAAAATCTGTTTATAGAGCTAATAGCAGAAAGCTTTCCAGTAGGGAAAGAATTTAACACAGAGATAAGCATGGCACAGTAGTACCCCAAGTAGACAAAATCAGAAGAGAACTTCTCCATATTACAGTCAGAATTCTAGAAGTCTAACAGAAGGACAGAATCTTAAAAGCTGTTAAGAGAAAAGCAAAAGATCACGTAGAAAGATAAACACATTAGAATAACAAGACTTCTCAAAACAAACTTTAAAGGCCATGAGAGCTCTGAGTGAAATATTTCAAACCCTAAAAGAAAACACTTGACACAAATATATCCTGAAAAACTATTTTTCAAAATCGATGGAAAAATATTGCCTTTGCATGACAAAGAGCACCTTAAGAAATTCATGACCACCAAACCACCACTTCAAAAAATTTCAAGGATTTCTTAGAAAGGGAACATGAAGCCAATGATGCCATAACAATCTAGAGGAATGACTATCGCAGGTAAGATGAGCAGTTAAGCAGAAGGGGAAAAAAAGAATCAGCAACATAAAAATAATACAATGATAGGAACAAGTCAATACCTTTCAATAATAACTAGATGTGAACAGATTCGACTTGCCCATCTAAAATCAAATTAAAATATTGGATTAAAAAATAAAACCCAAGGCTGGGCATGGTGGCGCATGCCTATAATCCCAGGACTCAGGAGGCTGAGGCAGGAGGATCACTGTAAGTTTGAGACCAGCCTGAGCTACATAGTGAGTTCCAGATCAGTCTCACTACATAGTGAGAGGCCCTGTCTCAAAACACCAATAAATAAATAAACAAACAAACAAACATTTTACTATACAAAAACAATAGCTTTAATCCAAAAGGAAATTTATAGACTAAAAATTAAAGGATGTAAATAAATATTTCATGCAGCAGGAGCCAACAAACAAGCAGGAGTAGCTGTTCTATTTTTAGACAAAGTTGACTGCAAACCAAAACTGGTTAGAAGAGTCAAAGAAGGTCACTACATATTAGTCAAGGGAGCAATTCCACAGGAAAAGATAACAATTATGAACACTAAACACTGGCACATCCAACTTCATAAAACAAACTACTGGACAGAAAAGCTATGATAAACATCAACACCATTATAGTGGGAGACCTCACTATCTCATTGTCATGAATAGATCAACTAGATTAAAGAATCAACAAAGAAATATCAGTGTTGAACCACACCTTCAAACAGGTAAACTTAATAGATTCCTACAGTGTTCCACCCAACAGTAGTAGCATGCACATTCCTCTCAGGAACACGCAGACCCTTCTTTAAAATAGATCAGTTACTAGTCCGTGAAGCATGCTTAAATAAATACAAAAGAATTGAAATTATCTCATGTATGTTATCAGATTATAGTGCATAGATTATTTTGCTACAGAAATCCATTGCAAAAGAAACCACAGAAATTATGCAAACACCTAGAGATTAAACAATATATTTTTGAATAAACCATGGATCATAGAAGAAATCAAGGAAGAAATTAGTTCCTAGAATCAAACAATAATGACAGTAAAACTTAATAGTATCCATGGGACATTACTCCTTTCATTTTCATTTTTTCTTAATTTTAATTTCCAGTAGAATAAAGATAACTTATTCATTTTAATTTATTCCAATGCTGGATATTGGACAAAGTTAGACATTTGGGCTTTGTCAGAGGTAGTAGTTCTAGAATTTTCAAGGGTATTGCATCCAAAATAATTCATGAATTTAGAATTTTTTTTTCGGATTTGTTTTATCTTGGTTTCCTTTCCTTTCTCTTTTCCTCTCTCTCTCTTCCTCCATATTTTTCTCTCTTCCAATTATCTCCCTCCCTCCGTCCCTCCCCTCTCCCTCTCTCTTCCTCCATCTTCACTCCTCCTTTCCTCCTTCCCTTCCTTCCCTCTAAGACAAGCGTGTTAAAGAATAAAATGTTAAGAATTTTTTAAATATTGTAAGTTCTTATGTTCCCTTATTGTTCAATTTTATACTAGAGCATTTTACTTTAAAGTGTGATGCTACTTCAGGGGTAATGGACTACTGTAGAAGAGCTTTCACTATACGGTTTACCCTAAAATAATTATATAAAGAATTAAATGTGTAATGGAAAAGGCACTTTTTAAATTTAAATTGATTTTATTGGTACATTCTAGGGAGACAGTAGTTA